GGCTCCTTGTATCTCCAAGGAACCCATCCCTTTCGTGTCTGTTCATATCCTCCCAAGGTCATGCAGCAGGTACTCCTACTCAAGAATATTCGGAATGTTTACATTTCTAGCAGAACTCCTTTACACTGAAAGGAATGGAAGTAGATGAACACTGTCATGATGTAAACACAGGMTGCAGAAGCCAAATAGATACAAATTCTTATGTTTTTACACCTGTGGCCATCACAGCATTCACATGGCAACAGTTTCAGATCCTCCTTTCTACACATAACTCCACTGTCCAGCTGGGCAGTGTTGATTATTCTCTTCCTATCTTAAAGCTTGTTTAAAATCTGCAAATCATTACATTGTAGAATCAGCCTTTTCTGGCCATCTTGATTGTGTAGCTGTGATCCCAGCAGACTGAGATGCACACCCAACACAACTGCATTATTTGCACATGAATTAATATGCAAATAATAATGGCTAGGTACAATTAACTATATTACAGTAATTGTAGAATGACAAGACAATAATTCTGAAATAAACCTGTGCCCTATTTTTTCTCTAGAGATTCTCTTCATACTGATATTTTGTCTCAGTTTACATGAACAGTATTAAATGCTGACATGGACGTTTAGGGATATTTAACCAAGGAACCCCCATCCTTTCTTCTCACTTAACTCTTCAAAGGGTCAGACTTAACCCTTCAAAGGAGGTCAGAAGCTCAAAGAGTGTTCTGAAGAAAAGATAAAGTATATCCCTCTGTACTTGCCTATAATCTGTTGAACAAGCTGCTGTGTGGCAGCCATTCGAGGTTTTGGGGTTTCCAGCTTCTCACATTCATGGTCTGATTGATGACGATGTCTGTAAACAACAATGTAAAACTGCTATTGCCTTTTCCATACATTAAAGAATTAATATCGATGTTTAAACACTCTGTTCCACTCACCTGAGGCAAAAATGTTTTCCACAGTATGGACACAAAACTGGCAAAAGCTCCTTTTCACTGCAGTCCTTGTATGAGCATGGGTAAGATCTGTGCGAATCAGGTTTCACAGAATTGTTTCTTATGTTCACCTAGAAATAAGTACAAAATATTTTATTACCAATAATTTGTAACATACAAGTTACCATCCCAGCTTTCTCAAAGATCCGTGCTAGCCCTCCGTTCTATGGGCAAATCTGGTCCAGCTATTYTCTCCTACTTTTGCCCTGGTTATGTTTAGCTCAGAGGCAGAAAAAGAATCATCATTCCGCCCAATTCTGAGTAGAATTCACTTCTGAGAGGCCAAAAAGAGTAGTTTAATTTTTTTAAGCTTTTCACATCATCAGTGAAACAATTCACACTTATTTACCATGTGCATTCATCTAGTCTGAAAACACACAGCAAAGTTGCATGGAATTTTAATTTTAAGGTAGTCACATATTATTAGATTACCTCAGAACACCCATGAGCRTCCCGGCTCCTGTGCTGAAGGCTTTGTGGAAAAAGAAGAAAATATCACACTGTTATCATCATTCCAGGAAAAAAACAAAACAAACCCGCATGTGAAAACGTTAAAGGGTTTAAAGAGCAATGTGACATGTTTTATTATGGGAACACTTCAGTTACATAATGAACCTTCTCTAAAGTTTGTTCTATCCTATGCATTTCACATCTTGAATGGATAGATCACATTCTTCCTCAGTAAGTAAAACATTTAGCTTTTGGAACTTATGCCTCAAGATAAGCAAACCATTTCAAAATAATTAAAACATCAGTATGCTTAAGAGTTCAGTTTAAAGCAACTGGAGTTTTTCTGTTATAACAATCACCTTCCATTTTCAATCACCTTCCATAACAGCAGAAATCCCTTGAARGCTTATGACACGTGAGAAGTGAAATCTGCCCTCAGTCTCTGAGTTTCTTTTAGCTACCCTCCGCTAATCTGAAGTGTAAATCAAAGTGCAAGCCCTGATTTTAACCTTGCAAGAAAATTTGTATTTTCTTCTAGAAGCAAACATACCCAGCCACCTCCACTTATGACAAGGTCACCCATCTACTYGACCTTGGGAAGCCAGCAGATGTGGTGTTTTGCATTTTAGCAAAGCTTTTGACACTGTCTCTCAGAGTGCCATTCTGGACAAAATGTCCAGCACACARCTAGACAAGCCTGATGGATGAGCAAGTGGCTGATAGTTTGGGCTCAGAGAGTCATGGTGATTGCTTCAGGCTGGTGGCCACTTACCAGGAGAGTTCTCCAGGGCTCAGTATTAGTGCCAGTGCTCTTTAATAATTTTATAAATGACCTGAATACATGTTATGCTTGCCAACCAAACTAAAGAAGGAGAAGCTGTGGACTCCCCTGAGCAAGTGTAGGATTCTTCACCTGGGATAAGGAAATCCTGGTGATCAGCATACAACATGAGGAAATGGAATGAAGCTGTGTCACAGGAAGCTCAGCTTGAACATTAGGAAAAGGTTCTTTTTTACAGAGGGTGGCTGAGCACTGGAACAGGATCCCCAGGCCTGAAMCAGGCCTGTTGGAGTTCAAGGAGTGTCTGAATGACACTTAGTTGTATGCTTTAGTTTTAGTCCTGTGAGGAGCAGGGAGTTGGACTTGTTGACCCTTGTGGGACCCCTTCAACTTGAAATACTCTGTGATTCTATGGACTTACCAAAATACACCTGARCAGCCATCACATACAAAGGGAAGAAAATCTGAAACAAAGAGATTTGTTTTCAATTAAGACAACATGGTTGTTGTTTTATTACTATYTTCTACCTTAATTTTCACATGATTAACTTTTGCTTACCAATATCACAGGGTTGGTAACTTAGAAACTACATTTACACTTCACCTAAAGTGGCTTTTGTTAACTCCCCTAATCAGTATTATAGAGAAACATATGAGCAGKTAAATTACAGAAGYTGGAATTAGACTTTAAATTCAGGGGTTTTTGACTATCAAACTATGACCCTGGAACATTCGGCCATCAGAATTACCAGTTATGTTAAAAATTGAATTTATTGCAAGACCACTCAAAACACTATTTACTGATATAGGACAATTCACGTTTTATTTTATGGGGTGCCAACTGGAAGAGATGCTCTCTCTTTGGAAGGGAGAGCACCTCTTCCATTGCTCTGATGGAGAGCACCTCTCCATCCAGTCATGATGACCCTACCCTTCTCATCATATCGTACATACTGTTCTTGAGTGATTTAAATTGCACACACTTTCTAAGCCTCTGCACACATTCCTTATCTACTACATAAATTCTTAAGAGATAAAATCGCTGTCTGCCGAACTCCACCACCTCACCAATGGCAGCAAATGCCAGCTCTAGCCCAGCCCATTGGCTCCTCCATCCTTCAGATTTTACGTTAACAGACCACCACGCAACTGGACCACGGAACTCAGGTCACAATCATCTCGATCCCTTCATCTCTGAGTGGCCCCATCAGAAAGCTTTCGGTACAGGCGGTTCTGCTGCCTGTTTCTGAGRGGTTACATTTCCAGTAGCACTTTCCGAGATCAGTGAAGGCAACCAAGTGTGAGGAAGGGAGCTATTAACCACCCAGAGACACAGCCGAGKCGACAGGCCCTGGCACCGGACCGTGAAGGGCTTCAGCAGCACGGAGGACACCCCGAGCGAGTGGCTCCCCTCAGAACCCCGCACCGCCCTCGGGCCACCATCCCCATCTCCGCAGCTCTCCCTTACCGAGCTGGCGGCASTCGGGCACCCCGCAGTGCTGCCCCACCTCCAGCTCCGCCATGGCCGCGGCTCGCAGGAGGCGGAGAAGCGGATGGGCCAGGCGGGGCGGGAGAGGCGGTGAGGCCGGCGGGACCCGCCCCGCGGCGGGAGGRGCCRAGGCGGGGCCGGGCCGRGCCGGGCGGTGCTGCGGAGRGGACCCGCCCCSGGRTGGGAGGGACCGAGGCGCGGCTGGGGRGCGGAGGAGACCCGCCCTCATCGGGTTGAGCCTGAACTTGAGCCCGCCCCGCCGGCTCGGAGCTGCCGGGGTGCGAGTGGGACCGTGCTGAAGGCAGTCTGTGCGGACCAGCCCGTGTCAGCCCAGAGGCGTCTCAGACTTCAGCGGGCCCAGAGCCGCGGCTGCTGTTCCTCGGGCTATTACGGGGCAGGGGGGAAGGCATGTTTTGTGTCTTATTTGTGTCGCTATTTGYGTCTTCTCTCGGGACAGACTGTTCCCAGAGGCAGAGCGGAGATATCCCGGCTTCCCGAAGCCCTTCGTGCCCCTATAACCTGTTGGTGCCGCTGCGGTTTCTTTAGTGGCGCACCCACTACTTTTATAAGAAGCTACATTCCTTCAGAATTCAGTGTTGTTTTCCCAGCCCTGACCCGCGCGYACGCCTTTGCCCGAGGGTGATGCCTTCCCAAAACGCCTTCSTGTACCATGTCGCCARTTCTGGGCTCCTCAGTACGAGAGAGACATGGAGCTCCTGGAGCAGATCCAGCAGAGAGCTGGAGCATCTCCCTTCGTAGTAAAGACTGAGAGCTGCGCCTCTGCAGCCTTGAGAAGAAGCGGCTGAGAGGGTTTCTCACCAATGTCCATAGGCATCTTAGGGGAGGGTGCCAAGAGGCTGGGGCCAGGCTCTTCTCAGTGGTGCCAAGCAAAAGGATGAGGCAACAGGCAGAAACTGAAGCACAGGAATTTCCATCTGAATATGAGGTAGAACTTTTYTATTGTGTGGGTGACCACACACTCGAACAGGTTGCCCAGAGAGGTTGTGAAATCTTCCTCCCTGGAGATACTGAAGATCCACCTGGATGCAATCCTGTGCTATGTGCTCCAGGATGACACTGCTTGAGCAGAGATGTTGGACTAGATGACCCACTGTGCATTCTGCGATTCTATGACATGGGGAATAGGTAGTGGGGGAAGCACAAACTCGGCAGCCAGCCCAGCCCGGGACCCTGCGGCTGCCCGCAGAGCTCGCCGGCTCCTCTGGCGCTCTGCCCGGCGCTGGCGGAGAGCCGCGGCAGCTCGGCCTCCCCAGAGCCGCCCCCGGGCCCGCCCCGCCGCCAGGTGCGGTGCCGGTGCCGCCCGTGGGCTCAGGAAGTGCTGTCACGGCGTGTGTCGGGCGGGGAGGCTCCTGCTGACCGGGCTGGCCCGACCTTGCCGTCGGCGGGTGCCGAGCCGGGATCGCCGCCATGAGCAAGATCTCCAAGTTCTTCAAGGGGGGCGGCTCGGCCGCCTCCAAGAGCCGCGGGGGTCCCTCGCCGCAGGAGGCGCTGGCCCGGCTGCGGGAGACGGAGGAGATGCTGAGCAAGAAGCAGGAGTTCTTGGAGACGCGGATCGAGCGGGAGCTGGCGATAGCCCGGCAGCACGGCACCAAGAATAAGCGAGGTGGGTGCGGACCGGGCCCCGCCACATTAAATCCCGGGGCTGGAGCGCTCTGGGTGCCGGGGGGACCCGGGTCTCGCCGGGGTTGTGGCTGGGTCACCTGGCTCCGCAGGTGTGCGGTGTGATTCGGCTGTGGGCTCCGGGCAAGTGTCTCCACAGGCGAGGAAGGATGGTGGTTTTGCGTCTTTGGCATGTGTTAGTGTTTAATGAAGTGTGGATTCATGTAGCGGGGTGGAAATTTGTTGTTCCTCAGAACAATGTTTTCCTGTGCGATACTCTTGTTCGTGATTTGCACCACAGTCGATGCAGGTGCACAGAGGGCAAAGTACTGCTGTTCAGTGTGGGGAGGGAATTGCTCYTTTGGGAGCTCAACAATGGCTGGGMAGGTGGCAAAGGAGATGACAGATGTGAGGATCTCCTGTACATTCATGAATAAATGCATATTATCCCCATTGCTGACAACTGATGAACAAAGTGATGSAATGATTCATCCAAATCATGTAAGAAGTATGTGTGCAACCAAAAAAAGAATGATAGCTTAGGTCATTAGTGACTACTGGTCTGGGATGCTGTTAGCTACAAAGGAGAGGATGCTAAGGGATCAGAAGATCTCTCTCCTGTGTATACTGATGTCATCCCTGGGAAGCAAGTGATGGTAGTCAGTGTCTCTGGGACATAAAGGCCTCAGAGAAATAAGTTAATTACTTCCTGAAGTCACATGGAGTCCTATTTGTCTACTCTGAGCTGTATTTTTCTTTAAATGCTTCAAAACAGAAGAAAAACATTTTGAATTAAAGATTTGTGATGTAACAATAAAGTAGGTATTTTGCTTGCTCTTTGTGTTACTCATTAATTTTTAAAAGTAATGCCATGTAACTTAGAACTTGTGAGGAGCTGTGTGTTAGGGGTGTTTTGGTTAGCCCTTTAAAGTATTTGTAATACKTTAGCATTTAATGATTATTAGCAAAAGGCAGTTTAACTAAACTAACTTTTAGCTGGAATGGATTTAAAATCATGGGTTAAGATGGGACAGATTTGAAGGCACAGTCAGGGGGAGTAAAGTCTGTTGAGCCACACAACTGAGCCAGCTGCTCTGGAGCATGGGAGCTGCCAGGGTTGTCCTAGTCCCATATTTTCTACTCCCCTGCCTCCAGTGATTGTCTGTTGGTCTCTGGTCCAGGTACTGGCACCTCTGTGCTGTCACAGTGAGCTAGTTCAGGAAGGTGATCTGGCTGCAAGCTGATTTGCTATGGGACAAAGCGATCAGGTAGCTCTTGGGGGTGAATTCATTATGCAAAAACCTGAGCTGCGGGGCTGGTGCAAGAAAACAGGCTGTTCCTATGACTGTGGAAATTCCTGGTTAAACCCAGACACACTGCTCTGGAACTTCATCCTAAACCTGGACTGTAAGCTGGCACATTTGCAGGAAGAGAAACACTTCCTGCCTTGCTCCTGCCCTTGTGTTTCTCCCTTCCTTTCCCTTCMCAGAGCTCCCTGAAGGGTGTGTTTCAGAAAGCTGGATGTTCTAAAATGTTGCGGTTTGCTTTGTCGGGGCTATTTTTTTTTTACCCAGGATAGTTTAAGTGCCATTTATCCATGATCCATCCATGCATTGATCTGCATGAGTGATTGTGCATCTGCAAAGGAGAGGGCGGTGCACAGACAGGAATGAGAACTTGTTGGGAAAAGGTGGATCTGCTTCTCCTTTAAATCAGCTKGTTAACAGTGGTTTCAGGTGTGTTGACCTGCAGCATTTGATATCATTCTCTCAGATCGTTGTTTACACTGCTGTGCTCAATTGCCCTAGTTTTTTATCTATGAAATTTTTCATGGAGTCATATTGCAAACTAAAWTGTTGAGCTGACTGTGGTTAAAAATAACTGCCTTTTATTTTGTCATTTGTTAGGGGACCAGCAGTTAAGGACAGTAGAGAGGCAAGAGTGGAGCAAAAAGTGCAGTGTGGCAGTTTTTATTCATGCCAAAAATGGTTCTAAAACCAAAATGGGATAGTGCAAGTAGAGTCAGAGGAGAAACAGCATAAACTAACCTTGCTGTGCCAAAGAATTTGAATTTAGCAGGATAGTCAGTGAACTTAAATCCCCAATAATATGCCTTCATTTGATATGTCAATTGCTTTATAGTTTGATTACTGTTGATTTACATATAACAGCTTCTTAGTGTACTGTACTGTATAGCTCAGAGAAAATCTGWTGACCATCATCTCTTATGACATATAAACATACACACAAATGAGAGAATTAAGGTTTTTGTCTATATTACCTTGTGACAGTGAATGTTTCAGAGTTACATCACTGGTAATTTTTAATGTGGGGTTTTTTGGGTTTTTTTTGTGTCTGTGTAGAAGCCTATRGAAACTAAAATGGGACTGTCTGCAAATGGAGCAAGATGTACGTAGGGATAGAAAATGCACTAAAATCTCACTTGATTTTTAGGTGCATGAGTCTGAGTCAGTTATACCAACACAAGAGAGCCGATTCAAGCACCAGCAATTTCTCATGACTTCATATGACTCTTGAATGGGTTTCATGTGACATCAGTAGGCTTAATTTGATTTAAAGGCTTTAATGCATTAGCTATGCAATAGATGTGAAACATCACTGAAATACTCTTGGCTTTTCCTTTATGAAGTGAGTATCTCTGCAGTTCCTGTACCTAATCAGGAATTACCTATACATTTAAGGTGATATATTTCCAGCATTCCCCATTAATATCCATTATTTTGGAGGATGCACAGAAAAATTGAAAGAGCAGGAAGTGATACTGAATATTTGAGAACTTYGTTTAAAAGGAAATGTGTTTTCTGAAGCATGCCTGTAATTGTGAAAATAACATACACGTGAATGTGTACTGTTTCAGCCTGGTGTCTTTCAGAGATCCTAAAAAAATAAAAAACTTAATAAAAAAAGAATAAAATTAAGATAAGCCAACCAGAATAGGATTAAATCTTAACTATGAAGAACCACATGGTGCTACTGAGGATAAAACCTTTGAAGAAAGTGGGAATAACAGGGAGAGTTTCACAAGTAAATGCTGCTCAATATGTTGTATGTTATGTTTGGGCAGGGCKTATGTAGCCGTGTAGCATTCCTTTTCAATGAGGCAGGTGTAACCAGGAGGCTTTTGAAGCCAAACAACAATGTGGTGGTTGTGTGTTATGATGGACACACCAGTCATGCCCACGGCAGGCTGYGGGACAGGCTGGGAGTGAGGGATTCTGGCTGGATCATAAAAGGAAAGCCCTGTGTCCTTGSTGTGTGAGTTACAGTGAGTGTTCTCAGACTGTCATGATCATGTTCCAAGTGTCTTGCCATGAACTGGAATAATTAGAACTGGTCCAGTGCATTATTGTCCTTGATTTAGCACCTCAGTTGTAACTGCATGTGGCTTCCTCCACACATCTTTAAGGATTATGAGTGCTGATAATGAGCCTTAGTGGGGTCCTATGATTTTTATGGCCTCAGCAGCATGGCCTTTGGTTGTCCCTGGTGAAAGGTGGATCAGAAGCTGCAGTCCACTGGTCCCTTGCAGGCCTGAAGTGGAGGTTTGTGAACTGAATCCAAGAATGAGATCTGGTATTTTCACAGTCATGTTCCATCTTCTGAAGAAACACTATTTTCCTACTTCACCAATTTCCTCCTGGGAAGTATAAGGATTGCTACACAATCTTTTTATTTCTGCTGAAGCAGCTGAAGTCATTGGTGCTTTCAGTACTGATGGGTGTTGGTGGTGGGCTTTACCTTGGATAAAGGTGTTATTACTGCACTGTCTCCTCTGTCTCTTTCTATTCTGATTTGTCATGAAACAATGAGGAGGGTGTCACAACTCTTCCTATGTCKTTAGTTCTGTTTTTCCTTTTGAAATCTGAATATTCAGTGTGATCAGGATTCCTATTGCCCAACTGGCCGTTTCTGCTTCCTTAACAAAGTGTTGGAATAGTARTGATTGGAAAAGTGCCCTTCAGTATGTTAATAACAATAGTTCATTAATATGCAAACTTAAACTGGCATAATAGTTTTCTGTTGTTCCAGACACTTACCTTGACTATAAAACAAGAACTTGTATTAAAAGCAGTGCTTCCTAGYCTATGAGCTGTATCCTGCTTACTGGACTCAGGAGTACAGGAAATGTGCTAAAGCCCAGCCAACTGCTGACCATTATGAAATTCAGGAGTTGAATTGGGTTCCTTCTTCCTTGGAGCAAAACAGAAAAAGTGTATGAGACTGGTTGTTTTTTTTTTTTTTTTTTTTTTTTTCCTCCCCGGAGGAACCCCCCTCCACCTCTTCCTGAATGAATTGGTGTTGATCACACTTGCTTCCTCAGACTCAGCCTCTGCTCAAATTCATCCTCCCCAGGTTGTCTTCCTTCTTTGAGATCTTTGGAATGGAAAACAACATTTTTTTAGTACCATTCTTAGACCTTCAGTGAAGTAAGTTTGTGTTCTCTGCTCAATTTCATTGTATTTTAACAGATACATTCTTCTCCAGTTTGGTAGTTAGAGCAGTAGCATTATAAAGCAGAAGCATTTGAACCCTGTAAGAATTGTACACCAATTTTAAAATGCTTGTAAAGGGCAGTAAAAAAGGACTAAAAGTTCTTGATACTCTGTAAAACACAGCAAAATAGAGTTCAAGTAACAGGTAAATTGTCATAAATAAGCTGTAGGAGCTACTGTAGCAAAGCACTACAATAAAGGACATTCATTTAATACAAATCAGGAAAATCATACAGTGTGGTGTGAGRATTTATAATGCCTTGGTTGAGAAAGGAATATGAATTAATTTCCTATGAAGAGCTTTGTTCTCTAAGTACTGGCAAAACTAAAGAGTAGGAAGATAAWATGTTGCACTACAATACTTAGGAAAAGCTGTTTGTGAATAGGTGAAGTCACAGTTTAGCTTCTCCTGTGTTTTCTTAATCTGGGTGTGGTTTAATTGAATGATCTTCAGGATTTTGAAAGCAACTGCTTCGTGTGTAAGTGAGGAAATCCATTTTCTCTTTGAGMAGCCAATAATAACATCACCATTGCAGTGTCCCATTTCTGAATAACACTGACTAGAAGGACTGCCCTGTGGTAGATACTTGCTGCATCTGAAGCATTTCTGCRTCAGCTCGTTAGTGCTGCTCAGTCCACAGGGCTTTAGAATCCTCTCTGACACAGGTGGTGTTATGCAGTTTCAGACTGTTGTATTTGTCTGGAATCTCTAACTTCCTAACCTAAAAATCYAGGATCAAATCTGATTTAATGGAAGCTAAGGAAGGAAGTGACTGCTGTTCTAATACTAGCAATAATAAGCATAAATAAGTAGGAAAATAATAARTAGGTAAAGGTTGTTTGGGATTACRTCAAAATRATATATTTTGGAATTGCCAGTAAGGATTTTACAATTCTTACATATGTCATGCACATGACATCATCTAGTGTTTATTCATCTTCTTCAGAATATGCATGATCTTTGCAYCATCCTCCAAAACCTGGGAAAATCTTGGATTTGTATACCATATTTAATCTGTTGTGATTGCAGTTTGCTGTCCTGAAACCTCKTACAGCAGATGGTGGAAGGCATCTTAGCCTGTGTGAATGCCARTCCTGGTGCAGCTCATGATGAGCAATTTTGATCATGTTGATTCAAGCATTTGTCAACAAAGCATTATTTTTTTATTGTGTGTTGTTACACACCATAAATMTGTGTACCCTCCTTGGGGGGGATCCTAATTTAATTTGAAAAGTTGCATACCAGTGTCAAGGTTCAGTGTTATTGCACATGGGCARTTGTTTGAATAGGATGCTGCTGTTGGTTGAGTTTTGGGGGCAGGAGGGCTGCTGGTGCTTGTAGACTCTGAATTKGTTTGAAAAACAAAATGTATGAGACAAGGAAAGGGATGGGGGTGTTAATAGCATTGAAAAAACCCAAACAATGGGTTAACTCAGTAGTTTTAACTTAGTTTTGTTTGGTGTGGTTTTTCACCTGGCACATGTGTAGTTTGGAAAGGACARTTGTCAGGAAATGCTTGTGGCAAGATTGTGTGTGTTCCACACCCTGAGGCCAAGAGAAAGTCCTTTTCTCCTTCTGCTTGTCATGTGCATTTATTCTGGTAATGATTTACTCTGGGCAAAGTGTGCTGCTCAATGAATATAAAAGGCTAATCTTGACAATTTACAAAGATAATGGGGTGTAGCTGGATTTGACTGAGCCTGTGTCTACTAAGTACTTTATGTTTTCAAATTCTAAGGTTTAAAGATCACGTTCCTAAGTGATTGTAAGAAATAGATGAGCTAAAAGCTGGAGAAGCGTAAATCCTTTTCTGATCTAACGCATCTGTCTGGCTGGGCCATTTGGACTCTGTTGGATTTCACAATTATTGCTGCTGAGACAGTTTAGAAAGCACCATTGATGGAGTTGCGGTTATCATGACAGATCTTCTTAYACTGTCTTCATCAGGTTTTATATGTTTTGCAGCTTCTTTTCTTCTTTCTTCTATTTCCTCCTTTCTGACTTCTCTCTGGTATTTTTCTTTTTCCTTCCCATCTTCCCTGCTTTAGCTGTGTGCACAGGATGGAGTTCAAGATCTCCCACAGTTGGAGGAAGAAGCTGCTTTTTTTCTGTGACATTAAAAGGAGTTAATCTAAAAGAGGCTTCCYAGCATGTCCATGCAACAGCATGTTGGTGATTAACAGGCTGCTGACCTGGTGTGGTCAAAGTTTGTCTCCATAATAGGAAGGTAGGAGGGTGAGAATTATAAAATCTTCAGGTCAGCTTGGTGCTGAACTACTTGTCCTTGCATTTGCAATGAAAACACATAGTGCACTTTGCCTCTTCCCATTTCAGCTGCCTTACAAGCACTGAAGAGAAAAAAGAGATACGAGAAACAGTTGAGTCAAATTGACGGAACACTTTCGACCATTGAGTTCCAGAGAGAGGCATTGGAAAATTCCCACACCAACACAGAAGTGCTCAAGAATATGGGTTATGCTGCAAAAGCCATGAAAAAAGTACATGAAAATATGTAAGTGTTTCCTAATAGCTTCCATGTTGAATTTACTAACCACTTCCAAATTATTCCATTACTACAGATTGTTGTATCAAGTTAGATAGTTTTGACTTCATTTTTGGTTTGGGCATCCAATGTCAGGAATGCTATTGGTGCTGTAGTGTTATATTTGGCAGAAAAATAGCTTTTCTTAACAATAAATCTAGAAGGAAGTTCCCTTAACTAGTTAGATCTGTTTTTTAAAGTCWGACTTGGCAGTGGAGCATGGCCTCTGCCCTTGGTTTGTCAAGAAGAGAATTCAATTGTAGAAACTAAGTGGACTCTTTTCCTCAGCATCCATAAGCTGGACTGTGGGATTCAAAGTGCTAATTAGACCCAAAACCCCCCACCTCCACCAACATGGATAAAAAAAATTAACCTTTTCTTTTTTTTTAGTATGTCCTGTATTGTTTCAAGGGGTGTTTTTCTGCCTGAATAAACAGAGTTAAATCAGAAAATCAGAAGAGTTGTTCTGGTAGAAATAAACAGGAACTGAAACAATAATGAAGTTAACAATAAGGGGAAACCTTTRAATGGGGTACAATTCTGTTAAGCCCCCTACAGTTCTGGTGAAAGCTTAACATCAAAAAAGATCCATAAAATCATAGAATCGTTTGGGTTCAAAGGGACCATTAAGGATAATCTGATCCAAACACCCTGCAGTGAATAGGAACATCTTCAACGAGATCAGGTTGCTCAGAGTCTGTCCAGCCTTACCTTGGATGTTTCCAATAACGGGTGCACCCACCATCTCTGGGCAACCTRTGCCAGTAATTCACCACCCTCATTGTAAAAAACTTCTTCCTTGTATCAAATCTAAATTGACTGTCTTCTAGTTTAAAGCCGTTGCTCTCTGTCCTTTGTAACAAGCCATGAAAATGTTTATCCTTGTCTCTCTTATAAAACCCCTTTAAGTACCAAAAGGCCTGTAARGATGCCAACTTTGGGGATCTGCTGAAGGGGTGGGTTTGGCTGGCAGAGGTATGAGGAGCRCAGACAGGAGACCCACTCTGCTGCAGTTTGATTTTTGTTGTAATCCCAGTGTGAAAGAAGTCAGACTGGGTGTAGGTGGGGAAAATGATTCCYTGTGAATTCTGCTATTTTTACAGTCATGGGCATAAAAAGAAAATAGAGTCTGTTCAAGTGAGTCTCTTCTGTAGGATTTGAATGATAAATCTTTTAAGAAATGTTTCCATGTTACATTGTCAGGGATTTGAACAAAATCGATGATTTGATGCAAGATATCACTGAACAGCAAGATGTTGCCCAGGAAATTTCAGATGCTATTTCAAACCGAGCTGCCTTTGGTGATGAGTTTGATGAGGTTAGTACTTCAAGCCTGTGAGTTTTAACTCCATTGTTATTTTCCTGTGCAGTGGTTTGTTTCTCAAAAAGTGTGGATGTGAAATGCCTTGGTTCTAGCTTACTTTTTCTAGGACAACTGCATATTTCTAATAAAAATTTAAAATTTAAATATAACTTTCTATATATAAGATATATAGCATACTAAATAGAAATTTAAATATGTAAAAATATTTTTTTTTTAAATTATTTTAGTATAAGCTTTAAGAAAAGCATTTTTAACTGCACTCTAGTGGTTATTTTTCTAAATTGAGCCATGRAGGAAGGAGTTCACCAAAACATATAATTTGTACTACTCCAAGTGGACACTGAAGCTTATAATTTTTTTGTTCTCCAAATAGACATCCATTTGACTAAGTGCAAGTCCCTATGTCATGGACAGGCTGTTGTTCATAATTCTGAGTATTTGGACCATTTTTTAAGGTTGTTTTTGGTGCTTGGAGATGCGGTGCTTTCCCTGTTGTCCAGTTTTTCCACAGAAGTAGATCCATTAGGCAAAAGTAATACCTGTTGAAGGCAATAAGTCTTCATCCTAGAGCCCTTTTCTTCTGAAAGCCCCACAAGGCATTTAGGACCTACCGAAAATTTGTTTCAGTATCCAGTGTATCCAGATTTGATTTTGTTTATCTAAACAGGATATTGCTTATTTCTGATCCAGCCATGGTTGAGGACTCAGGATGTAAGGATACTTAATATTTTTTTAATCTGTGAAATGCAGAGATTGTTATCAAGCTCAGTATCACAGCCAGTTTAGTTTTGTTTTTCAATTTTGTTTCAAAATGACCAAACACTAAGGATTGATAGACATTCTTTGAATACTCAAACCAACTATCCCCAACTAATTTGTTCCTCTGTGCCAAAATGGACAACAAAGAAAATATAAATGCCATATCGCCTAAATTTGCTTGATTGGGAGGAAGAGGTTTCATTCAACAGTCCTAATTTGTTGAAAATAAGAATGATTCTTTGTATTTTTTTCCCATTACCTGATTTCCTGCCCTTCCACTTTGACTGTAAATAGACTTTCCAAGAAATATTTAGTTGTTACTGGCAGAAGGAATGGGATTTGGCCTGAGCTTCAAAGAATTTAAAAACATACTGCCACCCCAAAGAGCTGTACAGTATCTTACTTTTTATCAGTGCTTAACTTTCTGGAGTCTAGACTTAGTAAGYGTGTTTTAGATTGACCTGGAAATTCCTTCCAGTTTGGGAAATAAGCCACTGTCACTTGGGGCATCRTTTTACCAACTTTTGCATTGAAACCTGATACTTAGAGCACTTGGGCAGTAACTGGGGAACCTGGTTTGCAGGCCACTGCAGCTAAAGAGTGCTAGAATTTAATGATGACTTAATGATGGGATGGATATAAGGTGGTTTGTGTTGAAGGATAATAGTTAATTTTATTTTTTGAAGGACTTTTTTCTATGCACTTGGATTTTCTCTTCACATGTGTGCCATGGGTGTAAGGAGACTGTGGCAGCATGTGATTTCTCCTGCTCCACACAGGCACAGAAACTTAAGGGTTCTTTCTCCCAGGGCTGGCACAGTGTATGTTTGCCATAAATTATAAAATCATGAGAAGGTAAATCCAGGTATGAGGTCCTGTTGTGGCTATGCAACTGTCATTTTAACATAGGTTAAAATTCTACATTGTATTCAAAATTCAATGTATTCCACATTGGTGAYAAACAAATTATTAATGTGTAGGCAAAGCCTATTTCAATACCTAATAGCTCTTGCTTTGCTACTTTTTTGACACTTCCTTCAGTCCTCTGTAGCTGTTTTTGCCTGTTGTTTCTTTTAAACTATTTTATCRATGTGGCAAAGGTCCATTTCTCTACAAATATGTGACATTTAGCTTGCTTTCTTTGGGAAACTTCAACCAAGGAATAAGTTCTTTATTTTTTTTAAAGTGTACAGCCTTTTTATTTTTAGCATTGTGTGAGTTGATGAGATCATCTGTCCCAATCAGCCTCTGCACCTGAAAGCCCACGGGTGCTCCACGCCTGACGAGTGAATAGCAGGACCCAGGAGCACAGTTTTGATTCCAGCACTGCTTTGAAATCACRTATAATCCTGGATTTATGTGATAGGGCTGAAGCAAAATCTTTAATGACAGTCTGCCTTATAACTAGTGGAAGGTGTTTGCTTTATGAAATGGGAGAAATGGCACACTAAAGTTGGAATTCCTTGAAGAGTGCAGCCTCTAGATTTGGAACAAATGTGAGGACAGGAGAGAGGCTTTTTACTTCCATGTTTGCCTTTTTGACATGTATTGCACTGCTGTTTTGTTTCTAATTTTATTCCTTGTCATATTTCTAACTTCCATTGTCCTATTTTCARAGTTCAATTAGGGTTTACTCTTATTGCCCATATAATTGTAAAAATTATACTTTTAATATGCTATTTCTTTATATGTTTTTTTTCAGTAGTTCTTTGCTTCATGGTGGTTAAATGTGCCCTTGCATGTGATCACTGTCAGTATTTATAAATAATGTTTTCCTTGAATTTAGGATGAGTTGATGGCAGAATTAGAAGAACTGGAGCAAGAAGAATTGAACAAGGGAATGAGAGATGTCAGGTTGCCAAGTGTTCCATCCACATCGCTGCCTTCTCGCCCTGGTAAATTGCCTGCTTGCCATTTTACATTTCTCATAATTAAGCCATGCTGTGAGAAAGGGAAGAGGAAGAAAGGTTTTCAGATATGGATTTTATCTGTTTTAACTTTTAAAATGTTACAAATTCCTTCTCCTATTTTTGTATCTGCCTTAACAGAAAAAGCAGAGTGGAATTCCATTTTGCTCTGTGAAAGCATTTAGGGACAAATTTTCTGTAGATCTGGGGAGACAAACTTGGGGAACTTTACCTTACACATATATTGATGAATCTTCTGCTGAAATGCAGTAAAATCATTGAAGAATGATCTTTTTTTCCTTTTTTTTTTTTCCTTTTTGGTAATTAAATTCTTGCTCTTTCAATTAGAGCCTGACCTAGATTCAAAATGTTTACATCATACAKATCCAGCTTTGCAGGGTAGTGGTTTGATATTTTCCACTGGTATTTTAATTAGAAATGAAGGAGGCAGTAGGAAGTACTTAATTAAAAACATATTTTCATTCCTTTTCTTTCTTTCTACTGAACAGGCTTATTCCTGGTATTAAGCTGTAGYTCTATTTTTCTGTAGTTCTGCCCTGTTCATTCTGAATGAAGCCAGAGGCAGTCAGCTTCTACTRCACTTYCTGCTGTCAGTTSAAAGACTTACTGACATCAGTAAAAGAGTATAAATACTTGATGGTAAGGACAGCACACATGTGACACAGGTTGTTTATGGTTTCTGCTGCAGAACAGGTTACCTAGACCAGCTTGACTCAGATACTATTATGTGTGTTTTGGCAGATGGCACTTAAATCCTGAGAAGCAGTTTAAAATGTTCAAGCTGAGACTATGGCCTCATCTATGGAAGTGAATTGCAGAACAGCTAGTAAAAAAAACAAAAAAAAAAGGCTTTAGAAAACAGTGAAAATTCAGTTGGGCCATTTATGATTTGTTCATACATTGTCTTCCAGATCCATATCCAGCTGTGCCAACTGACATTTTTATTAAACCCAGACCATCTCCATGTGTTTCTCACTGTTTTAATTTTCTAATTTATCCATATGTATGGCTGCTTCAGGCAAAATGAGCTGGTTACCATTACATAGTTGAAGGCTGTGAAAAACTGGCTTATGTTTTCTGAAACTTGCTGCCTGCTGTTACAAAGTCAGTTATGGATCTATAATGCTTCTACTCGGAGATGCAGGTTGCCCTCCTGTTTTTGAAAATGAGGAAACTGCCATGGAGCAAGGCTTAGTGACCTTCCCCAGTCACGCAGTGAACGAGTGACACTTGCAGAATCGGGATTGAACCTGTGGTGCCCCRTGTCCTTCTCCAYCCYTAGTYCCTGAAGGTGGTCGTTGCAGTCCCYYTCAAGAGGGTGGCTCCTGGCCCTGCAGCTGCCACAGAAGGGAGCCAACTGGCTGCTGTGTGCACACACGGGTATTGCCCCCAGTAACAGCATTCCATTGGTGTTTGGAGGGATGCCAGTCCTGACTGGCATCATTGGTGTTTGGAGGGATACACAGCCCACAGATGGAGAAGGCAGCCTGAGGCTGAAGCTGGGCTGTTGGGCAGCTGCTTTGTAGGTCAAAAACTGAAGACAATTTTGGTCGGGTTTTAGTTCAATGAATGCAGGTCATGTGGGATAGGAGATTTGGGTACAAAGGGACAAAGTGTGTGTGGGGCTGATACAGACCTGGGAATTGCTATTGCTGTGGACACAGCAGTTAACTGATGTCACCTGAGCAAAGTACATTCAGGAATTTCTTTCTCCATTCTAATAAATGGCATCACCCATTAAAATGGGGTGAGTTCATTCAGAGACTGGACTTGCCWGTGCAGAACCCCTCAGCACTGTGTGGAAAGGTAGCAGGATGTGCAGCTGGCCAGGGTAGGCCACTTTCACCTGTTCACAGGGTGATGAGAGAACTGACACCATTCTTGTGGACTTTTTCTGGCTGTGACAACTTTTAGAAATAATTTTCTTTTTCTGTGTGAATATTTCAGTAGGAATTGTGTCAGACCAATAGTGTGAACTTTAGGGTTCAATAGAAAATAACGATGGGGCGAAATAGTTGCATCTCTGATGAGCTTCACACTCAGTAAATTGGTCTGCAATCTTCAGACTGAAAAGCATTATGCAAGTGCTCAGACTAACAGAATGGTTCTGACTGTTAYATTAGTTGATGGTTATTGTCTCTTTATCTGCAGCATCGACCAGGAAGAGGGCAGAGGATGAAGATGAAATGAAGAAGCTGGCTGCCTGGGCTTCATAACAGCATGGTCTTTTTATAACACCAAACATTATAGTGCAGATGGATAGAGCTGTAATGCTGTTTTATAACCATACTGATATAGTGTGGTTGCATTTCATACAGACTGGGTTTTTTATGGCAAATCTTGCTGAGCCTAGTGTTACTGTCATATTACAAAACTAGTGTAAAAAACATCAAACAAAAAAATGAAGTACTTGCCTAAAGCTTCAAGCATATTTTTTTCAGCCTCATCAGGAGATTTGGTTCAATATTAGTATCAGATTTTATTAGGTACTATCTTAACATATCTGTTGTTTTATAAAACCTGTGTGCCTCACTTATGCTCAAAGCTGCATTCATTTTTGAAATGAGAAAGTTAAGTAAGTCATCAGGGCGCTATAACTAGAGGGTTATTTGGTTCAGACTATTTGAATATTAGCAAAACAGCTTAATACATGCCCTGACTTGCAAGTTCCTTTGAGCTTGAGAGCTAATAMCCAGCTATTCATTTGGGCATGAAGATTCAAACAGTCTGCCTGGAGCAACTTATGGTGTCCTAGATATTAAGAAGAAACTCTTCTGTAGGTTTTTTGAAGTGGGATGAATTATTTATTTTGTTTTAACTTTGACCAAAATATCCCATGCACTAGTGTAGGTCAACTTGAATTGTATTTTGGACKATTTCTGACTTGGTTACAGAATTACAGTGATTGAGGAAAGTGACATGTCTAAGTTCTTATAGATCCCTGCCAAACAATAGTGATTTTCATTAACCCGGTCAAAAGTCCAGAAGAGATTTGACCTTCCTGTGTTCTTCTCCTCTACCTTGTCTTTCTAGAGTGAGTCTTTACTTTGTATGATAATACCCAGCTTTGAAGGAATTAGCAACACGTTTTTAATTATACAATTTCAAAATAGTTATAATTTTTGAGCATTGGGTTCTTTTCTCTTACTCAGTTTCTGAGCAGGAACAATACCAGTGTAAGTGCCTTTTTAACCCTGGTTAAAAGCTGATTCTGGGTTACTTGTAAAGTCGGTGTGATGCTGTCCAGCTGACAGCTTTTTAGCCCAAGGAACAAATTCTGAGTTGCTACACTACTACATATATGGAGAAATCACTGTTCAAATGCAAACCAAACATCAAATACACTGCTTAGTGCTAACTAAGTGCTGAACTCCAGTTTATTTAATATGACTTAAGCTCTATGCTAGTAGGCTGCTGTCAGTTGCAAGGAAAGAGTAAAACTGTGGAGTTCCTAGGGGTGTAGGAAGAAGAGTYCTTGATCTAGGTTTCTGTTTTCAAATGAATTTAAATTTAGTGATGACTGAACAATGTGGGGAATACTAGGACAATTGTTTTCTATAGTTCTACAGCAACAGAAGACTGACTCCTTCTTCTGTGGGCTTTAGCCTATGATCTGCTGGGTGTTCAGCTTCAACAGCCTACAGTAGTCTTTGGTTTAGTGGATTTTAGGTTAAGCATAAGCAAATATGTGTTTCTAGACATGGCATGCTCAGAACCTTTCAGGTTGAGCYCCATGGATGAAAACCAAAAATGTATATGCCCTGTGGAGAGATAGACTTTTCCAGAATTTMATTCTCTGTGGAGGAATTGCTTTTGATTTGTGTCTGTATGAGAGGTGAATCAAGCCTTGCCACTTTACTTCAGATAATTTTCTTACTAAAAAGCTCTAAGTGTGTTAATTCTGTCCTAAAATTTGAAGGTACCAAGAAAATTGTCCCTTTTTGTTGAGAGCAGAGAAAATATGGAATTAATTTTGTTTTAAATACCAAATAAAACAGAAAAAAAAGAGAATYGCCTTAAATTTAAAAATACATTTTGAACTCTCAAGGAGTAGGAAACCAAATGCTAACAACATGCTACTCTATTTTAATGCTTGTTGAAATTCAAGATGAGATGCTAGATGAAAGCAGGAATATTAAAAAATATAAATACAGAAAATAGCAAATACTCTATGTTATTTTAAATCTGTTTGCTAATCCTTCTGTCTGGAATCCTGTGTTCAAGGTGTGCAGTTTGTGCAGGTCTCTGAATTGGGTACAGAAGGTATTAGCACACACTGGTTGCGTGACCGTGCGAGGGTGGCAGTGTGCTTGTGGACCCTTCTGGTATTTCTGTGTACGAGACCATGCCAACACAGTCCCATGGTTGGCTTGGAAAAGCTGGCTTCTAGCCTCTGTTCTTGGTCAAATTAGTAGTTTAACAATTCTTGGCTCTTATGTARCACTTGGCAAATCTGAAGTGCTCTACAACCTAATAGGACTCTAAGCTTCCATTTTGAAACTAAAGTGACTTTCAGCCTGCTTTGGAAAATGTGGGCCTGCTGCTTTTGTGTAAGAACTTTTCAAGTGAACACCCCTCACAGGAGAGAAAAAAATCCTATAGAAGGTCTTCTTTGCAAACCATCATTTGACTGCTGAACTCCAGCTATTTTTGGACAAGTGTTTATCCTGGGAAGCTTCAGGTGTCTTCAGCTTATTGATCTCAGACCAAGCACTTTATGAACAGAATTTGTGAAAGGTAAAGAAATGAAACTGGATATTTGGGTGCGCTGCTGTGAAAGTTTGTGTGTTATGGCTGGTGATCCTGAAGGATAGACTCACATACAATTGTGGTTGGTGGAGTTGTACTCAAAAACACTATTGTGATGTACACAAACTAAAATATACCATGGACCACCATAACTGGAGTGCTTGTTGCCCTAATTGTTTGGGGCACTGGTTTTCTTCAAAGATAAAGGGGTTCTTGGTATTGAATTCAGCTGAGGGAGTGKCTCTTTCCTGTGTAAATTCAGATATCTGGAACAAATGGCTCTTTCTTTTTTGAACATATGTCTCTTTTCATGCCAAGATGGTATTTGTTTAGTATGTAAGCAGTTGAGAGTGAATAGTGTCAACGTGTTACTGTAAATGTACTCTATTAACTGGAACATATTTTACAGGCAGCAGATGGTGTACTATAACTGACTGCTTTCTTGTTGCTTATTTATTCTGAGATTGTTTTCTTCTCCTCCAGGCTTTTACCCTGGATAACTTTAAAAAGGGGAAAATATATTAAAAAAAAGTAAAAATAATTCATATATGTATATAGATACACACTGTAAATAAATACTTTAGTGTYATGTTTGTGTTACATGATTGTATTAAATTTCTTTTCCTATCAGGCAAAATTSTAAGTAGCTTCCTTACACTGTCATTAGGATATAGTGCTCTTTTAAAGGATGCAACATTATTTTGAAACTTTTTGAAAAAAATGTATTAATTGTTCAGCAGTAAGTTCAAGAATTCGTTGAAGTTAATTTGGTTTAAAAAAAAGCAACATAAGAAACATAAGGAGGAAACTTTTGTCTCAAAGATTATTTAACAGCAGGGATTATCCTGAGCATTTTAAGAAATTTCAAGTAGTATAATCTCATGTAGCTGTCATATTTTCTTACATCTGTGCCCATTGCAGAGACTGTGACAAGACCCACCTTCATAGCAATGTTCAGTCAGTAGGAAAAATACAGCTGGCTGATGTGACTTTGATCATAGTTTAAGGGGTTTATCATTTTGTTATCAGCATGTAGTTACCTGGTCACCACTGAACTATACACTTAGGATCAGTATCTGCAATACCTGAAGATAAAACTAGATKATATAGTTATGAAATATTAATATGTGCCTAGAAATTTCTGAACAACCTTGTACACGTGGGATGGCTGTGTCTGGCAGGGTCACTGTGGTCCCTCTGCTGCCYTGCTCCTCTCCTCTCCTGCATACTACCCTTCCTTGTGTTTTTATATTTGGCTTGTATGTCTGCTTAGCTGACTTCTCTCCCTTCAATTAGAAATCTCATGATAATTCCCTGGTTGCTATTTACTACAGATGTTTGTCATCTTCCTCTTTACCAAGACAAGCTTTGGGCAGATGCTATCCTGGGGAGTTTTGGCTTGCCCGTCACCCCCCTTAAGCCTGTGCAGTCTCAGCAGCCACTGGTACCCAGGCTGTTCCTAGRGCAGCAGGGCAGTGTAGGTACCCCTCAGCTGGTTTTCTCAAAGGCTAGGCATCCAATTCTCCTAGGACTGAAAGGCAAGTTGAGGATCTGCACTTGCAACTAAATTTAATAAAACAGGTGGAAGGCCAATGGTCTGCTCCCATGGAGGTGATGGATAGGTGTTGACACCTCCTATTCCCATTGCTGTGACATCACCATGTAAGTCTTATGGGGCAGGATTTTTATGGACATCCTAACTCTACCCCGAGCTTAGCACCCTTTTCTCAAAAAAATTAAACATGCACTTTAGGAGTAAAGTGAGTGTTCAGATGCATTTAATTTATAAATATGTCCAGATATCTTAGCTTTACTTTTGTACTCTGCTTACTGAAGAGACCTTGGTGCAGCTGCTGAACTAACCAAACTGAGCTGGGATTGCAGATGTAAAGGCACGTGTAGGGTTGTTGTTTTACCCTATATTTATTGTATGTACCCTATTTGTGTTTGGGGTGTTGGAGTGCCTGGTGCAGCTGCTGTRCTGCCCGGCAGCCGTGGTGAGCTCCATCTGCGGCAGGGCTGGGACGCTGCGGACCTCCAGGAGGAGCTCTGGGTTCAGTGTACAGCCAGAAACTCCAGCMGGCTGGGAAGGCTGCAGTTTTCTCACAKGAYCTGATTTCATTCTTACTGCTCASRCTGKYCTGCAAGTRCTGCTCAAAAATAAGAGGGGAAAYCCTCCCATTCTTCCCACTCCTCCCACAAATCCCCACTCTTTCAAAGCTAAAATGCTCTGTTTTAAATACTAACCCACCTTCTCTGCTGCTTTTCTGGCTTCTGTCTGTTTTTTTCCCTTCCCCTGTCTCTGACCACCTTGGCACCCAGCTTTGTTCCCTGCTCTGGACTGATGCTGGAGCTCTGAAGCAGATCTTCATGCAGCAATTCACCAGCCCGCTCTCTACACACTCATGCCAGGGGGCAAAGAGCTAAGACCAATCTCAAAGCTTAAAAACAGTTTAAACTACCCATCTTCAAGAAGTTTAATACTGGTCCAGTGATTTGTGCCTTGCAGGGACAGGCTGCAAGCTGGATGTCATTGCAAACACACCGAGGACACTGAACTGCAAAAGGGATTTCTTGGTCAAGAAATCTTGATCTGTGCCTCAGCCCCCGTGAGGGTTCAGAGTGTGACTGTCATTGTGGGGTAATRTCAGCGCTGCTTTGGGTTAGGTGGGAACACATGGGACATGCCTGTTGGGAGGTATTGCAGCTGCTGCTTTTGAGGCTGCTGAAGATGTTCGTGTGTAAAATAAATCACTTTGATTTGTTGAGGATTTGGATCTTAAAAGGTAACTTTACCAARGAGAGGGTTTATTTGGCACAGGAAGTTCCATCTGATCTAACACCTTATGGTTGTAATGTAGTTTCAGAAGTTCATAGGTGAATGTGGGTTGGAGATGCCACCTTGTACTTTTCAGGTTAAAACCTCCAGCTTCCAATGCTTTGCAGCTGTCAGCAAAATATTGTAGTCAATTCAGTTTCCTGAGCTAAGGAAAAAAAAATCCTGTGTGAACCAAGTAGTTCTGGAAACGGTTTGTAACAGCACTAACCTGAGAACAAATCTTATCTGTATTGAATCATACACTTGTGGTTGAACACAAAGGATTTTATTTTGTAAAGGAGACAATAGGAGAAAAAAATGATGGGGAAAAATGATAAGTAGTTGAGACATTAATTTATGTAGTCTGAGAATCTGTCTAGAGCACATATTGTGTCTGAATAAACTGAAATTTGAGCTGACAGCTGCTTTACCAGAGCAGAACATAGAAGCCTCTTTGTTGAGRGATCTTGTGCTGTGACCTTTGGATAATCATGAGTCTTGTGTAACTCACATCATTTGGAAAGTGAAAGATGTTGGTCTTTCTGTGGGTTTCTAGATTCAGATCTGCAACTTGTCTCACAGAGGATGCCAGTAGTGATAAAAGTAATTATTTGCAGGTGTTCTGTTTCTCATGTTAAATCACAGCAATGTTGAGCTGAAATTTTGATTGTTTAATGCTCTTTCATAATTACTTTGCGCATTAATTTTGCTGCATTCTTAACATATATTTTATAGCCTGTTTAGGTAGGAACAGCTAAGTCAGATCTGACTGGTGTTCTCCACAGTTATCTCCACAAGAAACTAATTTTTCTGGGCTGCTTTTGCACACCTAAGCAGGAACAATGTCTCTATTGGCACAGAAACATCTCACTGAATATTACTAATTATTTTCCAAAAGATTACATAGAATGAGACCCCTTTCTCATCTGCTTTTTCCAATGCAAGTTATTATGCCCTTGCCAAATTCATTTCTAAAAAGAAGCTCCTGGTATTTTGGGTAGGTTTACAATTATCCTACAAGCTAGGCTGCAATATTTCTAGATTAACACTGTACATCCACACACAAAAATTAAACTTCTCAGAGCAATACTTTTTCTAAACATACAGAGCAGCTGCCATAATAGGGTAGAGCTCTTGCCTATTGCTTCTGCTTCTTCCTGTAACAGGTGTATTTATCCTGCAGAATGAGGGGGAAATAAGGATCTTGTCACACCACAAACAATCCACCCCMTAACCTGCTTACCACAAATGCCTAGAAAAGAGCCACAGGAAATTTGCGAGGAGAGATCCTGTAGTTCTACTATGTGCTGCAACTGCTTCCTAACCTACCTCTATCTSTCTGTCTGTCTATTTTTTTGGACATGTAAAGCATTAATGAGATCTTGAAAGGTCAGTATGCAACCTTCTCTCAGTAGGAACTTGCCAGATGAGCAATGCTTGACAAACCCAMATTAACTACCAAAAAGCCAACCAAACAGGATTTTATAGTGATCCTCAACACTTCCATAAAACAGATATAGCAGCTGTGTTTTCTTCTAGATGAAAAGTATTAATCTACCTGGGATTCACAAGAGCAGAGCCTTGTTTCTCCACACTACTGCAAGTGTCCTAGTGTGTTCAGTTTGAACTGGTAGAAGAAATTAATATTACAAATCTAGAAGCATAATTTATAAACAAGGATATTTAAATCTACTCGAAATACAGTTTCTACTTGAATACAGTTGAGATCTCTCAAAACAATGTTCCTGTATTGTACAGGAGTCTCACTGGATCAGCAAATCATCTAATTTTAAACTGCTGACAAGTCAAGAGGATCAGCAGTAATGCTAGGACTGCACCAACTGACTTACTGTGCAATTAGGGTGAATCATGTAATTGCCTTCCTCCTCAGGTTCCTTATTTGCACAGAGGGGAAATACAATACTTAGATACAAAGTGGGGATAAACTTTGTTTGGAGAGCACTTTGGTGACCCTCAAGCCAAAGAAGTGCTAAGTATGAACAGCAAGCCTTTAAGGTCTCCGTGAAGAGCTTCAAAGGGCTAAAAAGGGGAAAGGTCTCCATGAAGGTTGTGTTGAAAACCAGGAAAACACAGGAAAACACAGCTTTTGAAGGCTTACCAAAGGGTTAAGGTCCAAAACCTGCTAACCTCCCTTAAAATAGATGAGACTTTTCCACGGCTGAGAATGCCATTTAATCCCCAGAATCCCATTTATTGGGCCAGTGCCTTAATCAGATGAACCCCAGCCCCTGCTGGAAGGAAGACCCCTCTACGCTGAAAATTTCTGCACTGTGAGGAGTGATCTCTTCTCTGATAAATGATGCTCACCCTTGTCTCCCAAAGCTGAAGGTTCAGCTCTGGCTAGCAGTGACTTTGGAGGGCTGAAATTATTACTCCAAGTTTGGCACTCCCACATCCATGCCTTTCTCCAGAGCCATGCTGCCCTGCTTTGCAGTTTGCAATCTTTACAAGTGATACCAAAATTCCAGCCTGGAATGGGTGCTCTGATATCCTTAAATGAGACAGAAAAGGCACAAGTCACACAAACGGGCAGGAAGACTGTGAGAACCTGGGTTATACACAAGAGAAATGCATTGAAGACTACTTTTCTCATTGTTGGGTGGAGGTTAAAGGTGTAATAAAAGGACAAAGAGAAGCTTTGTCAGTTGAGTTAGACCATCACTAGCTCTTCCTGAATTTTAATTTCAGTGTCAGGTGCTGTTCTGTTGCAGTAAGGCTTCCTTCAAAAAATTCTAATTCTCTTAGGTTAGAATGGCCTATACT